TTTTTTTTTTTGAAATTTTACAAAAATAAATAGAAAAAACTAGCAAACATTCGCTGCGAATGATATCATTTGTTGACTGTTCAACAAACTGTTTAGGCAATGAAACACTCCGAGCTCATATGTACAAACAACACCAAATTTCCAGAATGTTCATGTGCCGATGTTGTAACTGGGCATTTCCAGATAAAACCAGCTTACATATGCATATGCAGGTTTGTCGAACTGTATATTATAAATCTTCTTCACTAACTTCTGGATGGTATATTCTTTTTTTTCTTTTTGAACAATTAGTTCAAGCTTACTGTTGATGTTGCGCACGGTCAACAGGTAAGTCTATCTGACCTCCAATTATTGGCAGCTCTGGACCAGAATCCCATAAAATTTGGATAAAAATTGAGTTAAATAAATAAGAAAACAATAATGTGAAGCAACAGCTTTTGTTGTCTTATAATGTAGTGAAAACTGAAGAAATACTCAGTCCAATAAAAATGAGTGAAATGAAACATTTAAAGATATTTACACTGTTTTTTGCCTCAATATTTTTGTTTTCATATACAGCCTTTTTTATGATTTTTTATAGGCTAAAGAAGAAGGCAAAAATATATCGGTACCGGTAATTGGTAAAGGTAATCCACCAATTCAAACTACATCTTGTTCAACGACAACTGTAACCAGTAGCGGAAATCAAGCACCAAATTTACACGTACCACAACCTCGAGCACCAAGTCATAATCCGTTTGCACCACTTCAGCTTCATTCTCTGGCTGGACTACCAACACATCAACCACTGAGTATTGCTGATCCAAATGGTAGGTTGAAATTTTGTACTCTAAAGAAAATATTGATACAGTTAAAGACTTGGAAGAAACTTATTTATGTTCTGATAGAAGTATAATTGATTCAACTGTAAAAGTAATAAATTTTTAAAAAACTTGCTAGTGTTTCTTTCAGCATTACAAAATGCAGCAGCAACACTGTTTCCTCAAATGGCATTACTTCGAGGTGCATCTACTGCACATACAGATGATTTGATGTCAAAATTACGGGAACGACTAATGCTTAATAACCTGGTAGCACAGTCTGGCTTCGGTTTAGCAGCTGCTGCTTGGCTTGCCAACTTCCCAAAAGTTGATCAACCCGGTATTTTTTTTTCTTTTGTATGTTAAAATAACTTTGTGGATTAACTTTTGTTTTACAGAAATTGACTGTTAAACTTTTTGAAAAATACTGTTGTCGAAAAAATTTAACAAATATTGTTTGTAGCATTTCGTTGTACAAATTTCAAATGTTTTTTTTGCTTACTGCAGATGTAGGAACAATGATGGACACCAATACTACAACTTGCCCAAAAGAGGAAGAAACTGGAATGTCTGTAGCCGAAGAAGAAGACGAAATAAATGTTGACAATGAAGGTGATGAAGAGATAGGTGTTGATCAATCCAGAAGAACCTCGGATGAACCTGTAAGTTAACAATATAGGCATAATTGATAATCTTTCTAAAATTTGTTTCGAAGGTTTGCAAAAATAGTAGTAACAAAATTGGTTTAACATGCGACATGTTTATGCAAAGTTTATAAAATGAAAAACTGATGCTGTATATTAGATCGATGTGGATAATGTGGCGGATAAAAAAGAGCAGAAGGATCTTGATGAACCAAGCGAGGAGTTGAGTTCAAAGGAAGAAAAAAGGCAAGAAACAAACTCCAGGTAATTTTAGATGTAATTGTTTTTGGATTCCCTAACCAGCACGGTTTGTTACTTCAATGGGCAACTTACGGATATCATGAAAATGTTACTTAAGGTCGTCTGAAAGTGGGCATTCCCCACTCGGCTCAGCCACCAGTGATTCTACGGATTCAACACAACCTTCTGAGGTCATGCCAGCTTTAAGATTCGCGAACAGTTCATCTCTCTTTATGGTCAAACAAGTTTCAGTAAATTCACCAAATCAGTCCAACTTTAATGAGAAATTTTTGGTTGGTCAATATAAAACCCTCAGTCCCGTTATGTAGATAGTGTGATATTGAAT